CAGGGGCTCCCCGGGGCCTCTACAGAGCCCTCCGGGGCATCCGCGGCATCCAGAGAGCAGTGTCTGGCCTCCCCTGGTCCATCCAGAGCCACCCACCAGGAAGCCCCTTCCCACCCCCAGTCACGTTGGGGACAGAAAAACAGAACCTCCACTGCTGGGATGAGCTGCAACGCTGAGACTCGGGGCGGAGAAAGACTGCACTCTCACACCACAGTAAGAGTCAAATGTGGACATTATGCTTATCACGTCAGGTTTTGATTTTTCTGTCTTAATGAAGAAAAGGCCAATAACAGAACTAAACAGAAAACCCCAGTGAAGTTGAACAGTTATGGAGACAGTGTTAAGGAAGGTACTGTTTGTCTACACATGCCCTAACACCCACCGGAAGGGACATTTCTACCCAAACATATGTCAGTAGTTAAAATTAGGCGTCTTTCAAACAAAGTATGCCATTAACATTTTGGATAAAACTTGGTTAAAAAAACACTTCATTTTCCGTTATTTTTCAGAAAGCATAAGATTCTGATGTTAGAATGTTACGTGAAAGAAAAAACGAAACAAACAAAAAACCCACCAAAACCCATGTACCTGTCAGACCTAGTTCACTAATAGCAACGATACCACAACCCCAAAACAGAGTGTCTCAGCTCAAGCTGCTCTCACAGAGACACCACGGACCTGGTGGTTCATAAGCTACAAACATTCACCGCTTAGTTCTGGAGACTGGAAGCCCAAGATCGAGCTGCCCGCAGATCTGGTGCCAGCTAACAGCACACTCCAGGGATCACAGACTGAGTCCCCACACAGTGGGCAGGGCGAGGGCTCCCCGTGCTCCCTTTTATAAGGACACTCCTCTCATCCTGGGGGCTCTGCTCTCTGACCTATCACCTCCCCAAGGCCCACCTCCTAACACAGCACATGGGGGTGAGGATCTCAACATGTTATTGGAGCTGGGGGGCGACGGGGAATGGGGTGGGGGACCACCGCTGACAGGGAGCTGCGGAAGTCCCAGTAGGGGATTACAGAGAGGAAAGCGGAGGGAACTTCGGGAGACCGCTTAAGCCAATGGCGGCACAAGAAAGCCTTTTGTAACGGCGAGAACAAAGCAGGCTTGCTTAACTGCAGCAGGACATATGCCCCAGGTCACCAAGTGAAAGGAAGAATGTTACCACCCTTCTGCTGATTTGAATAAATGCCATGACCTTCCTAGTAAGACCTCATAGAGTCAGACATGCTCCAGCCCAACGTGAAGGAGGAAGTCAAAACGCAGTCTTCTCCCCTCCCCGACTGTCCTTGGATTATAAAAATGCAGCCCACTCAACCCTCAGGGCAGAGACCCCTCGCCCGGCCCCGTGCAACTCTCAGGAGAAACCTGTATTAATAAATCTACTGCTTGCCCGTCGCTTTGCCTCTCACTGAATTCCTTTCGCACTGAGACACAAAGAACCTAAGTCCAGATGCCAGGTGAGTGATCACAATTAAAAGTCCGTGGGTTACAGTCCCAACGTGAGTGCAGTTCCACAACCGTTCAGCTTATGGTACAAACTCATGAGAAGACGTTCTTGGCCTTGGCACTGTCCCTAGAGGCAGGGAGAGCACAGCTCACCTCCCTTATGGTTTGGACTGAAGAGAGGAGTCAAGTAGAAAAAGGTGATCAGATCACAGATCACACACCTGCGGCAGAGTCTGGCTAACCTTTGACCTCCCAGGGTTATGGTCATTACTGTACCCATCTAGAGACCATACTATTACTGTTGAAAACGGGTCAAAAATCGATGGCTCTTTCCTTGAAGGTAATTACACATAAAGTATAACTTTAAAGAAAGTCTTTTTAAAGAGTTAGGCTTCTAGTACAGAGCAAGATATAAGATACCACACAAGTTATCTACTCGGCTCAGCTTCCTTATTCTGTGGGGTAATCCAGTGGGCTGGGCACAAGGACAATCCTTAAAGTAAGGGTGAAAACTGACAATGTGATGTTGGGATTTTATTGAAAAAAATTTAAATAATGCTACGCACAGGGAAAACACCAGTGCTCTTCCAAGTTATGAATAAATTACAAAATATAAAGATGTAATTTTTAAAAGTCCAAAAACATCTTTCAAATCTTAAACACGTTCACTTCTAAACATGGATTTTCTGATAATCTGTCATTACAGAAAAACAAATTTTAGCTTCAGTACTGCCAGCACCCTTTACATCCTGGACAGGTTATTTGGGAAATCATCTGACTTTAAGAACAAACGTTTAAAGCATCTGAGAGTTGGTGGTCCTTAACTTCAGCAAGTTTCACTGCACCTTTCTGGCAAAAAGAAAAAAAAAAAGACGCTTGCTGTAACTAAAAAGTACCTCCAGACACTCTCTTGGATTTTATTAGTCTTTTAAAGCAATGGTATTCAACATAATGGCAACTTATTTTAAATAAAATTATAAAAGTATTTTTTTGTGAAACAACTGGGGAGCTCTCACTTCCCTGAACTCAGTTAAGTCCTTGCACTAATAGGTGACTGCTGCCGCTGCTAAGTCACTTCAGTCGCGGCCGACTCTGTGCGACCCGATAGACAGCAGCCCCCCAGGCTCCGCCGTCCCTGGGATTCTCCACGCAAGAACACATGGAGTGGGGTGCCATTTCCTTCTCCAATGCACGCAAGTGAAAGGTGAAAGTGAAGTCGCTCAGCCGTGCCTGACTCTGAGCGACCCCATGGACTGCAGCCCACCAGGCTCCTCCGTCAATGGGATTTTCCAGGCAAGAGGACTGGAGTGGGGTGCCAGTGCCTTCTCCGAATAGGTGACTAGACTGCCCAAACAAACTAAACTTTATATATTTATTTGGAAAAGTTTTCTTTGACTTTCCGAAGACTTTATTTGGAAAGTTTTCTTTAACAACAGTTAAAGTCAGTTAGATATGTTAATTGTACATGGTAGTGATTAACTTGCTTGATAATGAGACAAATAAGTGTATATTGTAATAATTATTCCAGCTTCATTTTCTACATGAAAGCAAAATTCAGTAAGATAACGCAATCCGCACTCTTTTTAAACAAGCCCAAATAACGTTCATGTTTTTTCTTCTACCTCTGATAGCTTTCTCTTTCTGTACCTTGCACTAACATGTACTTTTCCCAGGCGCCACGCTCCTAATTTATACCATCAGCCCTCAACTGTGTTATCACAGTAAGGAAAAACAGCTCCGGATCTTCTTGTATAATAAAGTACAAGTCCCTTGGTCTTGAATCATTTGAGTAATGCCAAAGGAGTCTGAGCAGGCTCTGGGAGCTGCCGATGGACAGGGAAGCCTGGTGCGCTGCGGACCACAGGGTGGCTAAGAGTCCAACACGACTGAGCAACTGAACTGAAAGGATACACTCAAAATAAAAGAACTGCTTTCAGTTAACCCAAAGCAAGACATGCCCAATGACTGATCACCCTGCAGGAGTAACAGGAGTTTGGCTACTCTGTAAAAAGCTTTATCTTGAGACTCAGAGACATATGAGGCATAACAGAAATCAAATGGGAAGCGTGAGAGGATTTTAATAAAAGTGTTTTCTCTTCCGTGCCTTTTGAAAAACGCCATTATAACAGGTAGCATAACAAATACAAGTATATGTAGATATGCAAGGACCCTAGGTTATAAGTACCCCAAAGTGTCTGCCCTTAAAGTTCCTGAAAATAGGAGGCTGCTGTGAAACTGCCTCAGAGTGACTTCAAAATGAGATAAAGGAAACACAGTCGTAAACAGCATGGTGGAGAAGAGATGTGAACGGAGACTTGTCTCTCTCGTGTAAGTTACCCCTCGCACCGTGCTGGAGGAGAGAACTCTGGCTGTCCCCAACGCTGGCTACAGACACAAAGGTTCCAAAAACCGAGAGGAGCGCCTTGCAAACACTCTAAGTAGAACCAGCGGAGGCGTCCCTGCGCCGGGCTCTACGTTCCAGGATCAGAGCAAACCGCATCCACCCGGATAACAAGGGGAATCAGGAAAAGTTGGCGTCTTCAGAGAAAGGAGAGAACTTAGCTGGGAAGAACTTCAGGAGGAGACTTGCTCCGCTTCTTGCCTGGGGGGCGGACACGGCCCCAACAGAGTTCTTAAACCCCAAGCCCCCCGGCTCCAGCCCAGGCCGCCCGGTGCCGCTTCTCCATCAGACCACAGCGGTCCGCGGGCGCACGCAGAGCTGACCGCCCGCCGCGCCCCGTGCGCACTCACCCGCCGCTTCCGGGAGACGGGAGACCGCCCGGGGTGGAGGGCTCGGGGCCTCTCGGGGCTCCTCAGCGCGGGGCTCACAGACGCACGGGCGCCGCCATCTTGCCCAGGAAGCGGGCCTCGCGCCGGAGGCCCCCGGGCGGGCGCCCTCAGCGGAGCCGGAGCGCCGAGGAGCCCCGGGCGGTGGCCCCGCGGCCCCGCACGCCAGCGGCGGCCCGTCCCCGCGCGGCCAGGTCCCGCCCCCAGCCCCCGACCCAGGCGCCGGCACAGCCGGCGCCCCGAGCAGCCCGCACGGCGGATCAGGCGGCGCCAAGGACAGCCTGGGCGGAGCGGCGGGGATGGGGCGGGCGCTCGGTAACCTGGCGACGCAGAGCGCCTCGGCCGCCCGCCGACCCACGCCCTCCGCCGCGAGGAAGCGCGGCCCGCGGCCCGCCGTCCGGCCCTCGGGCGATCCGCGCGCTCCGAGATCGGCTGCCTCGCGGGACCGCGGGGCGGGGGCGGCCGCCGGGAACGCCTCCCGCAGGCGCCACCCCCTTAGCTGTCCGAAGCCCGCCTGCGCCGCGGCGCGCGGCCCGAGCCCCTCTGAGGCGGAGATCCCTCAGCCGGGTCGCGCTGCCAGAGCCTCCCATCAGCCGGGGCGCGCCTGAGCCCGAGCCCCCCTGAGGCGGGGTGTGGGCCGCCCCGGCGCGCAGCCCCGCGGCCACGTCCCGCCCGCGCTTCCCGCGGCGGCGGCGGTTTCGCGGGTCGAGTTTAAACTCGGGGCCTCGGCGGAGAGGACCCCCTGCCTGTTGCGCTCAAGATGGCGGCGTCCAGCCGCGCGCAGGTGCTGGACCTGTACCGCGCGATGCTGCGGGAGAGCAAGCGCTTCGGCGCCTACAACTACCGGTGAGCGGGGGGGCCGCCCTCGGGGGCGGGAGAGGCTCGTTCCTTCCCCGGAGTCGGGCCCTCTGCTCGGGGACCTCCCGAAGGAGCGATCTCTGCTCGCAGGGCGGACGCCGAGGTGCAGGGGTTCCTGCCCGCTTGGTGCACCCGTGAGAACTCCTCGTGGTATCGGAAGCCTGGCCCGCAGAGGTGCCCTGCAGTAGCCACGGCCCACAACCGAGGGCCTTCTCTAGTCGTTCCATTCACCTCCCAGGTGTCTTCATCAGCCCCTTTGCTCGCCACGGTGCGTTCTGTTGTCCTTGGCCGTGGGACGGGGTTTGTGAGCAGGCCACAGGTAATGGTAAACCGAGAACGATTGGCCTGGCTTCCAGGAGCCGAAATGTTCACCCAGACGGGGATCCAGCTTTCAGGATCTCAGCAGCAGGGGAATCAGAGGCTAAGCTCTTACTACATCCTCAATGGAGCGCACAGCCTTTGCACGCCTGCTCCATTCTCCTGTCTGCTCTTGAGTTCCTTTTTCTCTTTCTACGTCTTTTATCTACTTCAGAGCATCTGCTTTCTTTTACTGCTTCCTTATAACTTCTGACTCACCACGAATGTATATACCTTATAGGTTTTCTCTTTGCATCTTTGCGGATTTGGTATCTTACTGACTCGATGGGCATGAGTTTGAGTAAACTCCGGGAGTTGGTGATGGACAGGGAGGCCTGGCGTGCTGCAATTCATGGGGTCGCAAAGAGTCTTACGCGACTGAACTGAACTATTGGTCCTCTGAGCTTCAGCCATGTTCCCAAAGCAAGAATTTTAGAAGACCTGCTCTTCTCTTCACCCCTGGCCTCACCTTCCATGACTGACCATTCAGAGGACTGGGTTTCCTTGCAGCAGAGTCTGGGACCCCTGGAGCAGGCCTTGTTGGGGAAGCTGCCCCACGCTGGGTGGATGAGCTGGCGGACGCTGAGGGGTAGACCCAGTGCAGCTTGGTTACCAGACAGACACTAAACCTCCGAAGCAGTGACTTCCTAGTTTCTAGACACCTGCCTAGAAAAGGTACTCATCTTATACATTTAAGAACATCTAGATCATACCAATGAGGTCATGTCCAACTGGTCAGGTAGTTAATTTAAAAAAAAAAGCATTTCTGAGAGTGCATTGTTTCATTTAATGACTTTGGCTTTGGAAGCTAAGGTTCATAAACAGTAGATATACTGTTCGAATTTTAAACAAAAAGTTAACCCATGCTTAGTACCAATAACTTAACCAAGTCTGTTGAAGGAGCCAACAAAATACGCTTGTAAATAAGTTGAACCTTTTTCACCACAGTCAGGGAGAAGAATTTGTAACTTACTTAAAATAAACAAGAACTGCAGGAAATTCACTGGGCCGCTGTACTCTGTAGGCAGAAAGTGGAAATTACATGGTAACTGTACTTACAGAATATTGGTTCACATTATACTTTGAGTAATCCTTTTGAGCTAAACTTATTATCCACATACAAATATATTGTCCAGAGGAATCTGGTAATCACTTTACACCGCTTCCTGCAATCATGTACCTACACCCTGAGATTCCCACCATTATGTTCTAAGATAATAAACGGGTCATAGAATATGTCCCTGTTTTGTACTGAGATGAAGGCTGTGTCTTGTGGATTTCAAGGATCACCTCTCCCCTGTACTCTCTCCCTGCCGTGCCCTGTAATCACTTGGTCGAGTCCCCTGCTTCCTTTGAGCTCATCCAGTGGAACCCTGGGCAGGATTTCCCTGTTCTCTTCACTCTGCGTTCCCCACAGGTCCACACACATCCTGTTGCTGCTGTCTTTGGCTTCAGGGCTTCCAGGCACTCCCAGGCTGCTTTGCCCAGTACCGCAGCCCCTGGAGATAGCAAAGTGAGCACGTGGGGCTTGGCAGGGCCCCCACCGTCAGCGGCTCTTTGCCGGGTCTCTGTAGGACACAGTGTAGAATCACTCTCACTGGTGAGCGCCGGGGCAGGCCCGCACAGGGTGATGGGTCAGAGCGCCTCCCAGAGGACAGCTCAGGGTCACAGGCACGAAGCAGCCTGGTGCGCTCAGGGGGAGAGTTAAGTGAGCTTCTGGGGTGACGGAGGGGCACGGGGGCCGGAAAGGGCCACGCAAGGGCCGTGCTGAGGAGCCCGGACTGCATTCTCAGCTACCGGGCAGCCAGTGGAGAGCTTCACGCTGGAAAGTGTCCCGGCCAGACGTGCTGTTTAGCTAGACCACGCTGGCGCCAGGGGGAGGACGACCGTGAGGGCCGGACCCAAGGACCCCAAAGGAGGGTCGGTTACAGCGGCGCTGAGGAGAGATCAGGGCCCTTCTGAGGGGCTGAGGAGCGGAAGATACAGGGAAAGATATGCTTGACTGATAGTTAGAAGGTAAAACTGTTAGACCTCAATGAATGAGGGGATTCAGGAATAAAGAAGAGAACCCAGGCAGAGTCTGAAGTACCGCCCAGGTTACCAGGTAAACTGAGGCACAGAGGGTCAGGGTAAAAGCTGTACCATTAACTAATTTAAGAAATGCAGAAGTAGCTAGTCTAATGGACGTGGAGCTTGCTCAGCCATGTCCGCATCTCTGCGACCCTGTGGGCATAGTCCATGGGATCTCCAGGCCAGAATGCTAGAGTGGGTAGCTGTTCCCTTCTCCAGGGGCTCTTCCTAACCCAGGGATCAAATCCAGGTCTCCCGCATTTCAAACAGGTTCTTTACCATCTGAGCCACCAGGGAAGCCCAGGAATACTGGAGTGGGTAGCCTATCCCTTCTCCAGCAGATCTTCCCAAACCAGGAATTGAACCGGGGTCTCCTGCATTGCAGGTGGATTCTTTACCACCTGAGCTACCAGACACTTGAGTTCATCTTTCAGGACTCGAGTAAATGTCACCTGGGGGAGTCCCCAGCAGAGGCAGTTATTCACAGGAGCCTCAAGCTCAGAGGACCACCCAGGCCTGACGTTGCCATCACCACATTTGCTGTGTGACCCTGGGCAAGTCACTGCACCTCTCTGCTCTTCAGTTTCTTAATCTAGAAGGTGGAGGTAATGACTTACCTGTGTCACAGGAGACAAGGTTTAAGTGAGTGAATACGTATCAAGTGCTCGGGATTGTGCATGGGACAGAGTAAGTGCCGAATAAGTCCAGTTATTTCTTATCATAAGTGAGATTAAAAACCTTGATATTTGGTACCATTTCCAGGAGGAGTATTCAGAGCAGTGATTCTCAGCCAGGGCCAGTCTTATTCAGCCATGTCTGGGGACGTTTTTGGGTGTCACAGCGTGGGGGGAAGGATGCTACTGGCCTCTGGTAGTTATCTGCCAGAGGTCCCGCAGAAAGAGTTCTCTGGCCCTGAACGTCAGTCGTACCAAGATTGAGGCATCTTAGTTTATGGTGAGAAAGTTAGTGGGCTTAGGATGTTCTAGAGAACATAAAAATTTGAAGTGTTGGCTGAAGAAGAGCCCCTGCAAGGAGGCAGAGAAATAATAACGTGGTTCTCAACTTACTGGTCTCAGGAATCTTTTACATTCTTAAATGTTCCTGAGGGCCTTGAAAGCCTTGCTTATGTGGGGCATAGTTATCAATATTTATATTAGAAAGTAAAACTGAAACATCTTAAAGCACTTACTTTTGGGTACTGTTCATGGGGTTCTTGAGGCAAGAATAGTGGAGTGGTTTGCCAGTCCCTCTCCTTTTCTAAGTAAACAGATAAACCTGAGCGTGCTGTCACTTCATTTGTGTCCAGCTCTGTGACCCAGTGGACTGTAGCCCACCCGGCTCCTCTGTCCATGGGATTCTCCAGGCAAGAATACTGGAGTGGAGTGGGTTGCCATGCCCCTCCTCCAGGAGATCTTCCCAACCCAGGATTCGAACCCAAGTTTCTTTTGTCTCCTGCACTGGCAGGTGGGTTCTTTACCACTAGCGCCACCTGGGAAACCCATGGCACACTAACATAAACACCTTTATGAAGAATAGCTATTTTTGTCCCCCCACCGAAAAAAAAAAACCCAGTGATGCGAGTTTTGCTGTTTGACTTATTTTGCAAGTCTCTTTAGTGTTTGGCTCAGTGGAAGACATCTGGGTTCTGTGTGTGTTTCCACCTGGACCTGTCACTGTGTCACGCATAGCCTAGCCTCTGGGAACTTCCTCTGTCCACTTAGCAGAGAATCAGGCTGGAAAAGGCAAATACCTGCTTGAAACAATAAAAATTCCTTTTCCCAACGGATCTCCTGAAAGGTCTCCAAGGCCCCAGCGGTCCCTGGGCTGCTCTTGAATGACCGCTGTGGTGTCTGAGAAGCAGGAGACAGGCAGACAGCAGTGTCGCTGGAGTCAGGGACTGGGGGCAGCAGGCCACTTGCTGTGCAAGGTCCAGTAGATAAAGAGGGAGGCGTCCCCAGCGTGGGGACCTCTGGGGACCTTCCCCAGAGCAGCGTCTGCAGTGGTAGGACACAGCCCAGGGTGAGGCGCTGAGAAGTAAACCAGAAGGCAGTAAACCATTGCATGAGTGTAGACCACCCCCGCCCCAGGAAGCCTGGCTGACATGCGAGTGAGGGGACTCTTAGAGAAAGGCCACACACAAGTGACAGACCCCGACTGGGGGCACAGGTGGCGGCCGGGTCACCGAGGAGGAAGCACTCTCCCTTTTCCATCAGAGACGGAGCTGGATTTAAGGTGGAATGTAAGAGGATGGGAAGCTGAGGTGGTTGGTGCCGTGCTGGCAGCCTGTTTCTGGATAACAGGGAGGGTACTCGGGTGTTAAGTTCTCATTAATTACGTGCACCACGCTACTTGTCTCTGCCATTTGTCCCTTGAATCTAGAAATTCCATCTTATCTCTGCATTCCTAGTGCTTGGCACAATACCTCCCTACTCAATGCTTATAAATACTTGTTGAATAGCAGGAGGAAATTGTGTTCAGAGGTAATTTTTATTAGCCATTCACCCTGGGAGAAAAGCTATGACCAACCTGGACAGCATATTAAAAAGCAGACACAGTACTTT